CTCTTCAGGTCCCTTTTAGCTAAACATTCCTAGAACCTTGATGTTGTTGTTGTCATGTCCAACTCTTCATGACCCCATTTAGGGTTTTCTTGACAAAGATACTAGAATGGTTTGCCATTTCCTTCTCCAGCTCAATTTACAGATGAAGAAACTGAGCCAAACAGAGTTTAGTGACTTGTACAGGGTCAAACAACTAGTGTATGAGGCTGAATTTGAACTCAGGTCTGTCTTACTTCAGGCCTGGTGCTCTATCTATACGACCACCTAGCTGCCTCCTTGAATCTATGAGTGCTATATTCTTTTGATATTTGAAAAGTATTATTTTTGGTGCTCTGTCTACAGTGGATGTTTAATAAATTTATGCTGGATTGAACCTGTCCTTTTTAGTAGTTTTGGGCTAAGGCAGATATTTTAAGTAGATGCATATGTGTGTGCACATGTGTGCATCTCCTCATATTTTAGATATCATAGGTTTTGATGGTCAATATCACTTCAAAATATAATTTCAAGTAGACAATTTACCAGGACAACCTAGGGGGATTGATTCCTTCCTAGTCTAGTACTTCAGTGAAAATGGTTCCGTGGTGGGCAGAGGCAAGATGGTGAAGTAAAAGCAATGACTTACTTGAGCTCTCCCCCAAACCCCTCCAAATACCTGTAAAAATGGCTCTAAACAAATTCTAAAGCAGCAGGACCCACAAAAAGACAGAATGAAACAAATTTCCAGCCCAAGACAACCTGGATGGTTGATCTGAAAGACATATCATGCTAGGCTGGGAGAGGAATGCAGTTTGGCATGGATGTGCAGGCCTCAACGAACCTGGAGCAGGCCTCAGAGGATTGAATCATGGGCAGCTGTGGTGGTTTCCAGACCTCTCAACCCATGAATGCCAAAGAGAACTTAGAAGGTCAGTAGGAAAAATCTGTGTCTGTGGTGAGAGAGAAGAACAGGGGTCCCAGCCCCAGTCTTGGCCCCAGGGCAGTGACTGCCTCCTGAGCTTCTGGCCCACAGACTGAGGGGGAATCAAGTGGCTGATCAGAGTGGGATTGCAGGGATCTCTTTGGTAGTGCAGGATTCTCTTGCTTTGCCCATGCTTGGATCTGGGTCACAGTTCTGGGTGGCGGTCCTGGGGCAAGAAGTGCTGGCATGGTGGAGCTTGTGGTGGCAGTGAAAAGAGACTCCTCTTCACAATTCCAAGAGAGAAAAGAGTGCATGTGGTCACTCATAGACCAGAGCACAGGCCAGGAAAGAAGTAAATACCTCACCCATGATCATAGCACCTTGGAAGAACTGAAAATTTACAGGTCCCTAGAAGTATCTCTGAAAACAGCTGCACAAAACTCCTGAAGCTTGGGACAGTACGTTCTCCACTCTGGAAGCAAGGCCCTACCTTAACAAAGAGTTTAAAACTCAAGTAATTGGATGGGATCATGAGCAAGCAGCGCAAAAAGAGTCAGATCATAGAATCCTACCTTGGTAACAAAGAAGATCAAAACATACAACCAGAAGAAGACAACAAAGTCAAAGCTCCTACATCCAAAGACTCCAAGAAAAATATAAATCAGTCCCAGGCCATGGAAGAACTCAAAAAGGATTTTGAGAAGCAAGTAAGAGAAGTAGAGAAAAAACTGAGAGTGATGCAAGAAAATCATGAAAAACAAGTCAACAGCTTGCTAAAGGAGACCCAAAAAAATACTGAAGAAAATAACACCTTAAAAAATAGCCTAACCCAAATGGCAAAAGAGGTCCAAAAAGCCAATGAGGAGAAGAATGCCCTAAAAAGAAAAATTGGCCAAATGGAAAAGGAAGTCCAAAAGCTTACTGAAGAAAATACTTCCTTAAAAATTAGAATGGGGCAATTGGAAGCTAGTGACTTTATGAGAAATCAAGACACTTTGAAACAAATCCAAAAGAATGAAAAATAGAAAACAATGTGAAATATCTCATTGGAAAAACAACTGACCTGGAAAATAGATCCAGGAGAGAGAATTTAAAAATTATTGGACTATCTGAAAGCCATGATCAAAAAAAGAGCCTAGACATCATCTTTCAAGAAATTATCAAGGAAAACTGCCCTGATATTTTAGAACCAGAGGGCAAAATAGAAATTGAAAGAATCCACAGATCTCCTCCTGAAAGAGATCCCCAAAGGAAAACTCCTAGGAATATTGTAGCCAAATTCCAGAGTTCCCAGGTCAAGGAGAAAATATTGCAAGCAGCCAGAAAGAAACAATTCAAGTATTGTGGAAACACAATCAGGATAACACAAGATTTAGCAGCTTCTACATTAAGGACAGAGGGCATGGAATATAATATTCTGGAGGGCAAAGGAGATAGGATTACAACCAAGAATCACCTACCCAGCAAAACTGAGTATAATCCTTCAGGGGAAAAAATGGTCATTCAGTGAAATAGAGGACTTTCAAGCATTCTTGATGAAAAGACCAGAGCTGAATAGAAAATTTGACTTTCAAATACAAGACTCAAGTGAAACATGAAGAGGTAAACAGGAAAGAGAAATCATAAGAGACTTATTAAGGTTGAACTGTTTACATTCCTGCATGGAAAGATGATATTTGTAACTCATGAGACCTTTGTCAGTATTAGGGTAGTTGGAGGGAAAAAATTATATGTATGTATATAGATAGATAGAGGGCACAGGGTGAGTTGAAGATGAAGGGGTCATATCTGAAGAATAAAATTAAGGGGTGAGAGAGGATTATACTGGGAGGAGAAAGGGAGAGGTAGAATGAGGTAAATTATCTCATATGAAACAGACAAGAAAAGGCTTTTACAGTGGAGGGGAAATGCGGGAAGGTGAGAGGGAATGAATGAATTTTATTCTCATAGGATTTGGCTTATGGAGGGAATAACATACACAATTGGGTATGGAAATCTAATTTACCCTACAGGAAAATAACGGGGGAAGGGAACAAGAGAGAAGAGGATTGATAGAGGGGAGGGAAGATTGGGGGAGGAGATAATCAGAAGCAAACACTTCTGAGGACGGACAGGGTCAAAAGACAGAATAGAATAAGTAGGGGGTAAAATAGGAAAAAGAGAAATATACCTAATTTTTTTCAACATGAGTACTATGGAAGTGTTTTGCATGACTACACATGTATAACCTGTATGTAGTTGCTTGCCTTTTCAATGAGGGTGGGTGGGGAGGGAGGAAGGGAGAAAATTTGTAACTCAAAGTTTTAAAAACACACATTAAAAAATTAAAAAAATAAGATACTACACTTAATTTCACATGAAATCCTTCTAAGATTTTCCTGGATTAAGCAGAAAAAAATTTCCCAGTATGTTTACATTCAGTATAGCCCAAGCATTCTGTTGCTTTTCTGCTAACAGGTTACTGTAGATGACAGTTATATTTAATAAATCACATTGGACACTGTATCCTTTTTTTCAAAGTGACTGTCATGTTGGAATGTTTACTGTCTAAAGACCAGAAGAAAAGCAAAGATAACTGTTCAAATAAAACAAAAATTCATAGTATGAAGCCCTGATCTCTGTGGTAGACATTCTGCAGAACTAACTGGAGCCAATGTGGAAATCCGGCAATGTCCGAATTCAGGCTTCCAGAGGAGGAAGTGACGTTTTCTTTTCCTTCTTACTTGTCTGAGTTTTTTTTTTAATGAACCTTAAAAGTTTGGTTCCTCTTTGTAGACCATTGCCATCTTCTCTTTCTTCTGCAGAATTGTGAATTTTAAGTTATTTTGAAAGGCTTTCATTTTAAGTAAGACAATTACTTCAATAATTGATAATAATCAATCTCATTTGCTTGTCACTATATATATGCCCTTAGGTAAGTCCCATTCTCTGGGCCTTAGTTTTCTTCATTGTGGAAGAAAATAGTTGTATTAGAAAACCTTTAAGGTCCCTTTCATCTGTAAATCATTCATCCTATGACCACAGACAAGTCACCTTTGATGTTCCACTTGTGAGAACACAGGAAAGCTGAAATGCTGTGATTGCATTTTGGTTTCGTTCTTTGTTGACATGTTTACTGGATAATGTTGGTTCAACTTATTGAAGTTTTATTGTTGGATCATGAAATCCATGTTTCTTTTTTGCCCCAAGCTCTAAGCACACTACTGTGGGAAGATATTTCTGTTTGAATGTATCAGAAAAGGTTAAAATTATTAAGTACTCTCATGCTTAACCAGACTTCAAATATTTGGAACCTTTAATTTTTCCATCAGCTTATTCCTTTGGATTTTGTAGGGAGAGTAAAGTTTATGCATATTTGCAGGGAGAAGAGGCAACTTTGCCATTTAATAAAATTTTAAATTCACATGTGGGAGCTCTGTTGGTATGTTGGATGAAATTTTAGGATGCTGTGTAATGGAAGCATTAAGATGGTATCATGTCATTCCCTCATGTTAATTCATCAGTATTTGGGAAATGGTTTGGGCGTAAAGCTCATTATTGGAACAGGAGAGATATGAGGGTCAAATGCCATATTTTTATAAAATTTCTAGGTTTAAAGAGCCTTGCAGAGTTCTTTTTCATGCCTGCCCCCATTGTCTATTTTGTGTTTCATGATGAACTTGTGAGGTTTCACAACCCTGCTTGCCATTGTATTCAAGTTCCTCCACCCAAAAGTCTTCCTTGACAATTCACTTCTATAAAAAAATCTCTTCAACAAGTTAAATGACCATGGTCTAGTGGAGGGCACACTGGACACAGAATAAGGAGACTTAGATTCTTTTCCTGGCTCTGACATTTTGTAGCTGAGTGACCCTGGGCAAGAAACTTAACCAATCTGTCTCATTCTGTAAAATGAGGATAATCATCTATCTTATTTGGCAGAACTCATAATATTCTTGTGAGAACTGGGCTTTTCAAACTGTAAGTCACTATAAAAAGGTGAGCTATTATTACTTTGTGGAAGAATGCTATTATAGAGGTTGCCTTTGAGTCCTACACTTAATATATTTCTATACCTTGAATCACAAGTAAGTCCTTTGATTTTATTTGTGTTTTCTAGAGCATCAGAGCATCAGGACTGATCCTATTGGAAACAATTCTTTTTGGGTCTCTGCTACTATACTTTCCGGTGAGTTGCATGATTATTTTAAATTAATTGGCCATTTCACTTAGCACAAAGGACTAAAATGTTGGTGATGAAAGATACCAGTTTTAAATATGCAAATAGTTACACCTCATTTGGGTACTCCTCATATATTAGCCTGCAAGAAAAACTACCCCCAAATCAACGAATCCTGTGGGTCCACATCTACAACAAACTGTAGCTCACAAACTCCTCCAGCAATGACTTTAATTTTTTTTCTAGTCATCTTGAGGATATCATTAATTAAAAGCAAAATGCAAAAGTTATAATATCATGTTTCCCAAATAAACATGCCATCAAGATGAAAATGAACTCACGTGGAGCTCTCATATCATGATACACACATATATACTCAGGGGTCATAGGTGGCCCATGTGTGTGTGGGGCAGCTCACGCGGATACTGAGGGACCACTGATGTCTTCTGCTGTGATCATTATGCCACTTCTCTCCCTGAGCCTAATTCCTACCAGTTATGACATCTTCCCACTCATGCTATGGTGGTTGCCAGACGGAGGCAGGTAGTCTTAGGTGATTATCTCTCTGTTTGCCATGTGGCATCTCCATTGGGTATGTTTCTCTATATGTCTCTATTGGTCTGATGATGACAGTTGGTGACATAGTTTCAGCTGAGCATTGCTCTGTGTCTGCTGGTCTTTAAAGTTTCTACAGGAAATTATTTCAAGCTAGTAGGTTTGGGCTCATCTCTCCAAGACCACAGTATGATCATATTGGCTTCTTTATGCCAGGGGCTGGACCTTTGTCCTGAAAAGAGTAGGTTGGTAACTCTTCAATTGTAACCAACTGGGCTCCTTTTTCTAGGTGGAGATCAGCATCTTCTTTTATAGATAACTACCTAAGTCAGGATTAGACATTCCTAAATTCATTTAAATGAACTTGAACCAGAAAAAAAAGATAAATTAAGAAGGAAAGAGTATTATTTCTAACCACCTAAGCTGCATTCCTGCCCTGATTGTACATATCTGCAAACAGTAAAGTCCCCATGCTTTGGTACCGTATCTTGGCTAAACCCCAAACAGCATTATCTTTCCACACATGGGAAAACAGATATTTTAACTGTCCACAGGTTAGATCAGAGGTGTTAAAACTGTGACCTACAGCTGCATGCAGCCACAACACTTTCGAGTGAAGCCTGAATCAGATTAAAATATACTTCCTATCTAATTTTAATGTATTGCTATATTAATGGAAATATATAAATAGATTTCTAAGTATGGCCCATGGAGATATTTATGTATGGTTTAGTGGTCCCTGTTTCTATTTGAGTTTGACACCACTAGTCTAGATGTTAATTATTCCCCAAATACTTCACATAATGTCATTGCCCAGCAAAGTCACATATATTATATTGCAATGATTTTAATTTATTTATATGCCAGTTTCAACCAAATTGGTAATTGTCTTAGTGTAGTGAGTAGGGAGAGAGAGAGAGCTGGTGGCCTTAATCACCTAGAAGGTCTGGGTTCAGGTCCTGGCTTTATTTTACCTGGTTTAGTTTTCATTTGGGAAGTGGTGCCTTGACAAAATGGTTGTGTCCCTATAAGGTTGATTTATTTTAGGGGCAGTTAGATGGCGCAGTGGATATAGCACCGGATTCTGGAAGACCTCAGTTCAACTCTGGCCTCAGACACTTGACACTTACTAGCTGTGTGACCTGGGGCAAGTCACTTTACTCCATTGCCTTGCCAAAAAAAAAAGTGCTTGTTCTCTTTCTTGGGGGCAGCTAGTGAACTGGCCCTGAGGTCAGGAGGACCTGAGTTCAAAACTGGCCTCAGACCAAACACTTGACACTTACTAGCTCTCTGACCCTGGGCAAGTTACTTAACCCCAATTGTCTGGAAAAAAAAAGGTTGATTTATTTTAAGTGAAACATCATCTGATTTATAGCAAAGCAAAAACCAATAGTTGGTTATCCATCCTTTGGCCCTGGAAAGACAAATTGACTCAGGCTTCGAATTTTCCTGGGTGAGGTCTGGAGCCGGTGAGAACAGAAAAAGAAAAAAACTTCTCTTAATAAAAAAAGACACCTGAAAGAATTTGAAGTTGCAGAAATACTGACGTTCATAGTCATGATCAGAGATCCTTAAGAATTGGATCCATGTTTTGGGCCTGGGGGCTTAGTGGCTAAATCAATGACCACAAAAGAAAAAGAACATCATAGTGAAGGAAGAGAAAGAAAGCTTGCAGAAATCATGAGAACAACACTTTAGGTAAATAATTTTAATGTGACCAAGAGAAATAGAATAATGAGTAATTTTAATATTTAGCAAACAAATCTTGCCAACAAGAACATTAAGATATTTCAGAGTATTGATTTTTTTTTATTGAATCTACTGCCTAGTGTCTCTTAATAACTTAAGTCTCTTCTCCATTTCTTTAAGTTACTTCCAGGTAACCTTCAGGTAGTGTATAAGATACGTCTTACATCTCTGCTTCTTTTTGAATGTCCTCCAAAACAACTAAACCTATTAAGAACTTTTAGTGATTAGATGAAAAAATAGTTTTAATTCATACTGTCTACTTGAATAGGATAAAATTTAAAATTTTCTAATTGGTGGAGGCCTAGATCAAGGGTTAGCAATCTAACTGCCACCTGTTTTTGTACAGCAGCAAGAATGGTGTTTAATTTTTTAAGTTTTATTGGATTTTAAAATGTAAAAACCATTCTTAACTCTGCAGCTTGCATCCCTGTGATCTAGATTGTTGCAGGGCCAGCATAAGAATCAATCAAAAGATCAAACTTGAGCAGTGCTAAGGTTTCTTTTAAGCATTAAATTCTAAAACAGAAAAAATGAAATACTGGTTCCATGAATATAGACTCAGGACAGAATCCCGGTACTGGATCAAGAAACAAGCTAGAGGACCCCAAAGAGAGTGCCGGCCATTTGTGTTATGGTAAAAAATTTTAGTATTGCTGCCATTTTTAAGACCATTGTTCGCATCATAGGATGAAGCTTGCAGAATCGACTGGAGACATTAAATTTTAGTTCAGGTTAGTGATAGAAGAATTTCTGGCTACACTTTTTTACATCTATTTAATTAAGTTGTGATGTCAATTATAGCCCTGGCACTATCTGGTCAGTTCCTGCTCTGTCTGTTCAAAAAATTCCAGCTTGAAATATCAGCTTTGCTTCATTATTTACTAATCAGTTTATTAACTTATCTGATATAGATCTTCCCCTTCTGATATCAGTTCTTTGACGTGGAAATTTTTACCTTCCCCTTTACCCTCTGTAAAAATTCCAATTGAATCCATCTTACCTTGTCCTACATAAGATTGTTGGAAATGCTACTCATGGCCCATTGATTTTTGTGTACCAAAGGACTGTACTTTGAGCATATGATTAGCCAGTTGTTAAAATGCCTCTGTGTGTTGATGAGTATGATTGGCATTGGTACCTATCAACAAATCCCTGAATATTTTTATATCATTATAATACAACCTCAACTCAGGTATATACTATTTGTGTAACCTAAGGTGTAATGGATGCCATCAGACAAATGTAGGTTAGGAATCGGTCTGGGATCTGTGATTTCAATGGTACAGGGAACTCTTGGATGAGGAAGCTCCTTCTGTTGTACAGGTTGGAACTTTCTCTGCAACTTATAGTCTTAGAGACTTACCCAGAAAACTGAGCAGTTTAGTAAATTGTCCAGGGTCACATAGCCAGGATGTATCAAAGCGGGACTTGAATCCAGGCAGAATAAAAGAACATGTCCACAGACTCGGGAAAAAGTGAAGGCTGCCAATCCAAATAGTACTCAAATGTGAAGAACTGTTAGTCTTGGATTTTTTCCCCCATTAAACTTAGCTGATCATTCCATTAAACTCAGTTGATCAGTAGATAAAACATAAGTAGCTTCAACTTTTAAAGTAAAATTGCAGTGATTTTTCACTGTATGAAACAATGTCAAGGCTTTATTTAATAATCCTCTCCTGTAATCATGGCTTTTGTCTACTTGCTTACATATCACATTGTCAATTATGCATTTGTAATTTTATGTATAATATTCATTCTTTGCTGGTTTTATTATATACGCTATGGACCTCATGTGTATGTATGTATGTATATATATATGTGTGTGTGTGTGTATATATATATATATATATATACATATATATATATACATATATATGTATATATATATATGTATATATATACATTATATATATAGATATATATGTATATATATATATGTATATATATATATATATACACACACACAGAAATCTAGCTGTAGCACAAGTTGCACAGATGTTATATAAGCATTAAATAATTGTAGAACCTAGGATGGCTAAATTCAAGTTCACTCTGTGATATCCAGTGCAGAATGTACAATTAATTAACTGGTGATTTCCTCATACTTTTGATACCATTTGCACCTAGGTCTTTTAGAAAGACATTGGTGAAGTTCTTATCCCTTTTGTATTTAAATATAATAATTGTACATATTGGTTATATTTTTGTTGAAAATGGTAGAAATGTACTATGTTTATGCTTCTACATCCAGTTTGTACAAAGCTAGAAAATAAATAAATATAACAGGAAAAAAAAAGAACATGTCAGTTACTTAGTAAAGGTGAAAGCTAATTTTTGGGAGGCCTACGAGATTCATTTGATTCCACATAACCATAAGTACAAGAGAATAAGTGAATGTCTCTAGCACATGGGAGAGAGCTGCTGCCATATATGTAGGGTAGTACGTGGACAAGGCCATATGATATGGACAGGTGTAGATGCTTCGTGATCATCAGGGTTTGGGAGTCATCTTGTATGAGTCATTTCATCCCTCTTACCCTCAGTTTGTTTGGTTTTGTTTGTTTTAGTCACTCAGGCTGGGAGGACAGCAGCCACTCTCAGGTCAATCTCACTGCTGATTGACAGAGCTGTGATCTGTTCTTCTTCTTACTTGAGACAATTAGTTCATGCTTAAGGAGCCTGGTGACTTCTGTTTCAAGAACTCA